TTAGGGTAGATCTGTACTGTAGATCTGGTGAAGAGTTGCATTCCAGGCATTGTTTGTCAAAATCTTGAAAGATCAAGAATCTTAACAGCTCAACCACTAGTTCTAAAGAGGGCAGAGTACGGTTTGCACTGGGGGTTATTCCTGAAACAATTTGCCCGATGTTGGGTGGCTTGGGGGGGATCCTTCTATCTACCCACGATCCTCTGCACCAAGCATCAGTGAGAGACTGAGAGAAGCGATGTTTGTTGTTTTTACCTTTAAATCGCAACCATGCAATGCCTGTATGTAGACACAATCATGCACAAACTGACATAATGATGCACCCTTCAGGCCTAAGAGAAATACCCAGAAAAAAGTCATGCCTGTACGCCCACGGTTATTTAAACAAACAGACGCAGGAACGCTAATTGCCTGCAGCTCGGTGCCCATTATGTGGGAGGAAGAGAGATGGGACCGGAGGACATGATTGTCTTCTCCTCAATCTACGGGCCCGAGGCTGTCATCTCATATGCAAGAGCAAAGACGACATCGGTCTGTATGCAGAGCGCGCCAACGATTACAGGCACCGGTGCTCTGTACTTCGGGTGATGTGGAGCCGACCGGAACTGCAGAGGAGATGGAGGAAGCCGGGACTGGCTGGGAAATCATCTGACAGGCCGTATACTGGCGAGGACCCCACTGCTTGTGGGTGTGGTGGTGGGGAGGGGGTAGTATGTGTGAGGGTCTCACTATGTTTGGAATGTGTTTGGTGCTGTTGTCAGGACTGTGCACAATAGTGTTACACTGTTGCGTCGGCAGTGTGTGTGTTCACTGTGTGTTCACTGGAGACTGGGCCTCTCTCCATCTGCAGTTGTGCAATCTTCCATCCCGTAGGATGTGTAAAACAAAACCAGGAATCAACAAGGAGTGTTAGAGCATTAACTGCAGAACCCCCCCCCCCCCCGCTACACACACACCTACACACACACACACACACCACCACCAGGGCGTAGCTGTGGGGATCCGGTGGCGGGGGCACCGGAAAGTGTGATTAGAGCACACAGTCGTCACTCCACACGTCACCTTCACGCATTTGGCCTCAAGCTCACACTGCAGGGAATCCGGCACTTGGCTGAAACGTCACAATAAACTGAATTACTCTCCTGAACCCTGAAAAAAGGAAACGGAATTATCTGCAGATGAAAGCAGTCCGCAGTGCTTGCATTTGGCTCTGGTTTTTGGTAAAATATCAGATCGGAAATGGAAATATTTTGTCCGTTTCCTTGATACCCAGTTAATTTAGACAATTTAGATTTTGGAATGAAACACAATAGCTGTATAAGAAATCTCTGCCAATTGTATTTTTTAATTTTCAGTGACTCCTGATATAAAAACTCTTCAGTGTTGATCATGAAAAATTATTTTGTATCATGTATTGCAGCTTTTTATTCATAAAAAATGTGATGAATAGCTAATTGGACACAGAATACCCTGTAACATGTGCTTACTTTAAAGTGATGCCCGTAACAGCTTGTGACATCCGCTCTGTCTAGTTTAGTATCCTGGCTGCACATCTGTGTGTGCTGTGACACAGGAGGATCGTGGAAACTCCAGAACGGGGTCACTTGTGATTCTTGCAAACCCTGTAAGAGTGAGTTCTGGTGTTCCTCACCACATAACCCTGCACCCAGAGCCTGCGGCCCGGTTCCCTACCCGCCGTAGCCTGTTCCGCAGCCAGCCTCCCATGTTGCGTCTGTCTGTCATCAGTATTCCTACGTGGATGTGCCGGCTGCGATGCAGATGCGGTGTACCTGCAGCCTTGCGGCGTGGAAGAATGCGGGGCACAGCTATTGAGCACTCGATGTTGCGTTTCCAGTTGATTTTGCTCCTACCTGATTGCTGAACTGCTTATTCAGTAAAGAACTGTTTTCACTGAGGCAGATTGGCAGCCGATTGTCGACCATGGGTACCAGGCCTGAGGCAAAAGTGTCCAGGCCTGCGTCAGCAGTATCACTACGGCTGTTATTATCACTCGGTGCTGTCAAGCCGATGTCAGCTCCTGGCCGCCCATCGCATCATGGCTCCGGTTTCTCACGGACACGTTAAGACCATCCACCTAGTTGCAGGTCGTTCTTTTCCTGCGTCCTGCATGCTGCTTGGCGCATTATGGTCTTTTCCGATGGGCCTTCCCATAATTTGCCCATAATTAGCCAGCTTCAGTTTAGTCACTTGGAAAGGAAAATCACTACAGCAATGGTGGGCGAAGTTGTTGTTTTTTAAGGTGGTTTTTTTAAGGTTCATTTCTGGGTGTTTACCAGATGCCATGTGGTTCATCCATTAGACCCTAATCTTCGTTTTTTTGTTTTTTTTTTTCTCTGGGAGTGGAGTGTGAAAAGCAGATGGCTTGTTGGTGAGGAAAAAAAATAGGGTTTGCAGAAGAAGAGTGGAGGTGTAAGGGTGGTGTCTTTGTTACACCCCCGCAGGGCATAGAGGGCTACAGCTGGGGGGTGAACAGGGACAGCCAATCATATTGGCAGAAACGCTGTCGGCACTGACAGGCATACACACAAACAAATACCTGCCACCCCCGCCTGTCTGATGCTCATCTGTAGTCTGCTGAGTTCCCCCCCCCTCCCCTCCCCTGTTATTTCCATGGATACAGGCCTGTGCTCACCTGTGCCCCTGACCTGCATATGTGCTGGCACGCCAGTGGCTGAGGTCACGGTGCAGGGTGCTGCGACAGAGAGGCCAACGGGAGTAAAGTGGGTTGTGTTGCTGCTAAAAGGGGGGAAGGGGAGAGGTCTGGTTTGCCCCTTAAGAATAACCCCTGGCTGTGTAGTTTGGAACTGAGCCACCTCTACCAGAGAGAGAGAGAGAGCACTGCAGGTCCCTCAGGTCATGACCCCCAGCAGCTCTTCTAAAGGCTTTTCTCCTGCGTCTTTTCTCAGCCGTATCTTACAGCAGGCCGACGTGATGGTGTCACCACATGGGGGCTCTGTCTATCAGACAGGGGTGACCCCTTCCATTCAGGGATCCAGACTGTACTGTACCAAGTCCGGCAAGTTCTCAGGAAATCCCTGTGACATAAAAATCACAGCAGGAAGAGAACAGAAGCATTGCCCGTGTAAACCGTGCTCAGCACCATATTGCTGGACACTTTCGACCGGAGGGATACTATGTGCTGTACAGTACATGCTTGCTACACAGCAATACACAGTCATTTCTTGTTTAGTATGAAACTGTGGTCACATGTTCAATATGTAGCACTGCATCACGATTACCTGTTCAGTGTGCAGCACCGCACTGCAGTCACATGTTCGGTGTGCAGTACTGCACTGCGGTCACATGTTCAATGTGCAGTACTGCATCGCGATTACATGTTCAGTATGCAGCACTGCATTGCAGTTACGTGTTCAATATGCAATACTGCACTGCGGTCACATGTTCAATGTGCAGTACTGCATCGCAATTACATGTTCAGTATGCAGCACTGCATTGCAGTCACGTGTTCAATATGCAATACTGCACTGCGGTCACATGTTCAATGTGCAGTACTGCATCGCAATTACATGTTCAGTATGCAGCACTGCATTGCAGTCACGTGTTCAATATGCAGTACTGCACTGTGGTCACATGTTCAGTGTGCAGTACTGCACTGCGGTCACTTGCTCAGTATGCAGAATTGCACAGTGGTCACAGTAGTACACAGCAGTTCACAGTACTGCACTGCAGTCACATATTTGGTATGCAGTACAACGTAATGGCCAGGTGTTCAATTTGCAGTACAACACTGCAGCCACATGCTCAGTATGCAGTACTATATTGCACTCACATGTATACTAACCACAGAGGCATGGATGGACCTCAGGCCCACACATTCAGCGTTCTCAGCAAAAGATACAGCATGATAAAATGATTGTGTCTGACAGATGTGTGTGTGTGTATGTGTGTGTGTGTGTGTATGTGTGTTTGTATGTGCGTGTATGTGTGTGTGTTTTTGTATGTAAGTGTGTGTGTGTGTATGTGCGTGCGGGTTTACTTATCCTTATGGGGACATAATGTCCCCATAACGTGATAAATATCCATTTTTTTTATAAAAATCAGTGACTGCTATGAAAAAACTAAAAATGCTAAAACTCTTGTATTTTGTTAGGTTACTTATGGTTATGGTTAGGGCAGGGTAGGGGTTAAGGTTGTCATAGTTAGCGTTAGCATTTTTCCCATTGAAATGAATGAGCGGTCCCCATAAGGATATGTTTACCCTACATGTGCGTGTGTGTATGTGCATGTGTATGCGTGCTTAGATCAATCAGAGGAAATGTGCTGTTGGTGTTGAGAGGCAAATAGATTTTTCTTTCTCTTTGTTCGTTTGGCCTTAGTAATGCCATGGGTCATTTAAAAACTGATAAAAATAAATACATATATGTAGTTGAGTCTGTAGTGTGAGTTTGTCGCCAAGTGAATTGTTCTGGGATTTTCTGCCAACCTGCTATGATTTCTAGCTGCCCTGCGGATATGATATACACACTTATTACCCCTCAGCTTTACGTCATCTGGCCTCCCTAGTCTTCAACCCCTCCTCCTCCCACCCACACTTGTTAATAAAATTGTCCCAGTAACACACAGACCCCAGCAAGCAAACAATACCCCCCCAGTTGCACCATGCCTCACTGTAACCTTGACCAATGGCAGATCTTCAATATCTGAAGTATGTAGACCTACATGTGTCTGTTGTGTCAGTGTTGGACTTGCTGAAGTCACAAGTGGCCAGTATATGTAACAACTGCATCTTTTTATCGCCATAAATTACATAATTTACATTGTTAACTCAGTCTCTGATTGGGAGACAGTGCTGCAGTGCGGATGCTGCAGGACATAGAGCTGGTGTCCATGTGTCTGTATCAGTATGAATGGGGCACCATGCCCCCTACTGGCGAAACAGCTTTCTAACCTGCTTGAGAGCAGGTCCATGCTATTTGGTGTCATTCCGTTAACACGTGGTGTCTGTCCTCTGCCAACAGCAACAGGAGCAGGACCCGACCAACCTGTACATCTCCAACCTGCCGGTCTCCATGGACGAGCAGGAACTGGAGACCATGCTGAAGCCTTTTGGCCACGTCATCTCCACGCGGATACTGCGGGATGCCAGCGGGGTCAGCCGGGGCGTCGGCTTCGCCAGGTAGGGCCCAGCCCAGAGGTGCCTGGTACTGATGGTAGCTGACTTAGACTGCTCATCTGTGTCTAGGTTGTAATTGTTACGAAAATGAAAAGTGAAACAGAAAACAGTGAAAAATTACTGGTTATTCATTTAAAAAGAATAGCTATTTAAAACAAAAGTGAAAATCAGATTTTCAGGTTAAGTATTCTTTGGTGGATGGATGGATGGATGGAAACATACAATTGTAAAAGAATAAGTAAAGAGAATAATGTTGATTTGTGGGAGCTGCAGGCCCCTCTCCCGCCATGATCGGCGGTCACTTGTACCTCTGCAGCCATACAGGCATTGCCGTGTGCATAAGAGCATCGTGATTCCCGGCACCTCACGTCCCACCCATGCCAGCACCTCACGTCCCACCCCTGCCGGCACCTCACGTCCCACCCCTGCCGGCACCTCAGGTCCCACCCCTGCCGGCAACTCACGTCCCACCCTTGCCGGCACCTCACGTCCCACCCCTGCCGGCACCTCACGTCCCACCCTTGCCGGCACCTCACGTCCCACCCCTGCCGGCACCTCACGTCCCGCCCCTGCCGGCTCCCAAACTTCACAGACAGCCTCCCAGTTTTCCGGTTCCTCATTCCGCCCTGATTCTGTCTTCTTAATGTGCCGTAACGGCATGGTTCCGTAACCTCGCAGCAGACGGCCCGGCCGTGGCTCCGCTCTATGGAAGGCGTCTCCGTTCTCCGTGCCTCGGAGCCGCTGTATTTCTTTACGCACTCGTGTTCATCGCATGAGAATATCAGGTGATCTCCCACTGAAGGGGCCATACTGTTCCATAAAGCATTCCATGGAAAGAGATGTGGAAAAAGCCGTTTTGTAACCAATTTAGGCTATCTGTAGTTTATCACACAGACACAGACCCCAGTCCTCGAGAGGGTAACAGGGGTAATTGAGTGTGCAGCGTGGTGGGAGAGTGGGCAGATGTTTGAGGGGGTGGGGGGGTGGTATTGCACAAGGTAAACTACCCTCTTGTTTCTCTCCATTACTGCTATCAGCCCCCATTACGGCCATCAGCCGGCTAATTGTTTCAGACAAGCGGGCTAATTTTATTAACAGCTCTTCTTGCGAGCGTACCCCCTGCCCCCTCCCACCGCAAATTCAATTCAGCTGACCGCTGACCAGCGCTTTTTCTGTAGCGTGACCAGGTGAGGCCTGTTCAGGTGGGTGGGGGAGGGGGCTTGTGGGTTGTGCTGACACCCAGGCATGGAGAGGTGGGACGGGCAGGGGGCAGCGGGCGAGGTGCAGGATGAGGCCTAGCAGCAGACTAGGCCCGATCCGATGAAACATAAGTTACCGACCTACATGTACTGAGTTGACCAGATATATTAATATTTGATTCTGTTTTGGATGATAGCTCATGCAAATGAAGTGCCCCCCCCCAGTGCGGGCTTTTAGGGGACACATTAGTGTGACGAGGTGATCGTCTGATGGGCCTCGCCTCCAGATCCCCAGCTCAGCCAGGGAGGCGAGTGGAGTTACGCAGCCCCCCCCCCCCCCCCATGAGAAAGAGAGGAGCTGGGAATATGCTCCATACCCCCCCACCGTCCCCTTATACCCCCAATACACACAGCAACAATACATCTCACGCAAGATACATCAGTGCTGCATTATAAAATGAAATGAATAGAATATCTCTGGGCCTGCTTCCTTCGTTTTATCTCCTGCCCTCTATCTGCCTCTTCTCCACCTCTTTTTCTCCCATTTGCTACATTATATTCCGAAAGTGTCTAACGGGGTAGATAGCGAGCGGGGTCCCGGCAGCCCGCAGTAACGGCAGCGCTTTCCCCTTCCAGGATGGAGTCCACCGAAAAGTGTGAAGTAGTGATTCAGCATTTTAACGGAAAGTACCTGAAGACTCCGCCCGGTGTTCCAGGTGAGTCCACTGTTCCCGCGCCTGTGGCGTTTCCGCGATGGTCACGGTGTCGACGTATGCAGGGCTGCAGCTGGGGAGGCGAGAGGGAGCTTTGGATGCAGCATGACCCCCCTCCCCCCCCCCCGAAACGCGGAGAGGACCACGGTGCTGGCCTGTTCCCTCAGTACCCGCATCCTTTGCGCTCGCTCCCTACGCCCCCCCTAACCTGGCTTTGCCAGCTGACAGCCAGCTAGTTAATGACAGATGATGAGGAGCCCCCGCGTCCAGATGGCCCCGAGCCCCCCATCCGCCCCGAGAAATCCCGGAACCTGAGACCACTGCTGTGCTCTCCATAGTTTGACAGCAGTTAGCAAATGGGCCGATATTTTCATAGGGATTCCCTAGAAACATGAACGCCTCCTGCCAGCGAGGTTCTGGGGGCTTTTTGGAGAAGCCACACACGCTACAGAACTGGCCGGCTCGCTGTAATCCTTCCGCAAGATGAGAGCTGTTCCTCACTGGTGTTCTTGAAGGACGTTCTGCCAGAATGTGTGGGGTCACCTCAGGAATCACGGCTGCATTCAGTGTAAGTTGTGTCTGTGCTGGGACGCCTCACAAGCGGAGACCCTCCACTTGGTTTAATCCACACTCAGAATGCCATGGGTTTCGGGGGGGGATTGAATGGCGGTGAATGTGGACTCGCTGCCCTGTGAGGGGGTGTGATTTCAGCTGCAGGAGTCCTGGCGTGTGACCTTGGCGGAGTCTCCCCCAAGTGGGCGATCCGGGGGCGGAGTGGGCGGGGTTATTTGTCGACACGCGGGCTGTCGGGCTGTCAGATGTGCCCCTGTACTCTCGCCTCTGTTTGTACGTACACGGTAAGTGCCTGTAGTCAGAGTGTGTCTGTGTGAGTGTGTCTGCACACAGGGTACCAGCAGGATAAAGGTTAGCCCGCGCCACGACGGCCAGGTTCGAGGCGGGGTATTTCTGGTGCCTGGTTACCATGGCAGCACAGCTGAGTGACAGGCTGGCTGCTGCCTGTAACAGTATCTCCAAATAGCCAGCGCAGCGCGACGACTCCGGTATGACCGGCTCGTTAGCATGTGACGGTGAGCCGAGGCATATAGAGGACGTCCCCAGGCCAGAGCAATCGAGTCAGAGACGCACGCCGATGCCTGGGCCCCCCAGCCACTGTGGTACCCCCATCGGGGCGGAGCCGGCCCACATTCCGCCTAGAGCCACTTTCTTCCAGAGATGCCTCCCTGTCAGCAGAGAGAGCTTAAAGCCCTCCCCCACCTTTCCAGCCCCACAGGAGGTGTCGAAAGCCCCCCCTCCACATTTCAATATGCAGAGAGTCTACGGTTTCTGCTAGGCTGGCGGTTGTGATGGATGGTTCGCCCAACCCCCACCCCACCCGTGCTCCTTTGCGGATTCCATCTTTGCCAGCGTCCTCGGGATGCTCGTGTGCTCACCCCCCCACGCTGCATCCCAAGGGGGGCAAGTAGCGGGAAAACAGTGTTTACTGTAATCCAGGATGATGGGTCTTCTGTGGGGATGTTGCCCACCCCCCTCCCACAATGAATAAAACACGTGAAGCCCTTTCTCTTCAACAAGGGACAGAGAAATGAGCCGAAATAGCAGCAGCGTATCTCACAGGCGTCTGAAGGCGCTCACAGTAATGGATCACAGCTCAAAAATAGAAGTATCGACAACAAAGCTTAAAGCTCAGAAATAGTATGACATCGATTTTCATCTCCCCCCACCCCTGTCCCATCTCCGCGGTAACTGCATAGTGATGTCGTCGCCCTGCGCCTGACCGGGCAGCGGCGATCGATGGGCCCGGTCCAGCAGGAGGACCCAGCCCGTTTCGGCAGGACACCAGGCGGGCCTGTAAGACAGCTAGACTTTGATTGCATGAGGACAAGTCCGTCATTTCAGGAACAGATCCTGTCCAAGGATGAGGAGCAGAAAGAATACTTTCCCAAGACAGTATAGGACAGACAGCCCCGCTGGCGTCACCCGTGAGACGGAGTGGGGGGGTATCGTGTTTCCTGCTGGATTAGTACAGAGTCGAGAGGGCAGACGCCCCCTCTGCCGAGTGACGCAGACTTAAGGATTACACTGTCAGCACACAGCACAGGCCTCTGTGCTTTTTTCCGTAAGAAGCAGGTCTTGCCAGAAGTTGCTGGCCTGAGTTCTGAAATACCTGCAAAGCATCTGCCCCGATTAACTGCAGGAGAGAAGTGGGTGTGAATCAGCAGGTGACGCTAACCAGGCACCTCCGGGCTTCCATGCGGGTCGTGAAATCGGTGATGGGGTCACCCGATGACAAGATTAAACATTTTAATAGTGTACAAACCCTTCGACATTTGGATGAATATATCATCTGGTTATGTGCTGTTTCAGTTGACACTTTAATTTGTACGCAACTGCACTACGTGCCTTTAATTAATACTCTTACAGTGTTCATATACAGTACAGTGGCCAAAGCTGCTTATTCCATCAATCACTCCTAAATGGAGTCCTGCTTCTCTTCATATGGTAAGTACTGCTGGGTGCTGGACATCACCGCTTACCAATCTGAGGAGAGCTTTCCGTTTACAGAAACATTGTATATTGACCCTCGCCGTCTGCTCAGTTTCTATAGCTATGATTTTCAATTACATTTTATATTGAGATCTGCAAGGTGCTCCATACTATGGTTTGCAGTGAGACCCAAAGTGAGGCCCACCGTGAGTTTTACAGTGTGATCCTCAGTGTAGTGTACAGGTAGTTTTACGGTGCAATCCAGTGCCCTTACAGTGAATGCAGTGCAGAGTGCGGTCAGCAGCGAAGCCCTCGATCCCAGGTGCAGTTCAGAGTACGGTCAGCAGCAAGGGTTGCCTTCCCGAGTGCAGTTCAATGTGCGGTTGGCAGCGAGACTCGTTTTCCCAGGTGCGGTTCAGGGTGCGGTCAGCCGTGAGGCTTGTTTTTCCAGGTACGGTTCTGAAAATGGTCACCAGCGAGGCCCACTTTCCCGGGTGAGGTTCAGAGTACGGTCACCAGCGAGGCCCACTTTCCCGGGTGAGGTTCAGAGTACGGTCACCAGCGAGGC